TGTTATTTTCCTTTTTTGATTTGTTGAATGCGAAAAAAAAGGGTGTTGGCTAGTAAATTAGGATTTGACTTTTGTCAGCTATTATAAACGAAGAAGAACGTTTACCCAATTGGTTTCCTTCTAGGGATGATACCTATATTGTCATTGTCAGCCATTGCCAATTTCACTTGTCAATTGTCATTACTTGCCTATCCATTAACTCTGGCTTATTGCTCAAGCTCAACACTACTTAGGGTGTCTATTTTTTTTATTTTTATTTTATTCTCAAAAAGAACAAAAGAAATCATTTCTGATTTTGGGATAAGCTGATTTGGTATTTCCCGCTCTTAACTGGTATCTTGTTCCATTTTTTGTTTATATTATTCTCCTGTCCTGCAATTATCTGCTTTCGACTTGTTTCTTATGGAGCATTTTGCTTGTGGATACAATATTATATTAAGTTCTTTTAGCTCGGTTCTTGGAATGTAATATAATGTGGGGCTTTACTCATGTAACAGATTTGACGCAAGGATGATGTTGGAAAAGCTACGGGATAAGCGACTAGTTTTTGTTGGCGATTCAATTGGAAGGAACCAATGGGAATCACTCCTTTGTATGCTCTCTTCTGCCATTACAAATAAGAGTTCTGTCTATGAAGTTAATGGGAGCCCAATTACCAAGCACACAGGCTTCTTGGCATTCAAATTTGAAGATTTCAACTGCACCATTGAATATCACAGATCACCATTTCTAGTAGTGCAGGGACGGCATCCTTTTGGAGCACCTAAAGAGGTAAAAATGACTTTGAGAGTGGATCATATGGACTGGACTTCTCGTAAGTGGAGAGATGCAGATGTGCTTGTTCTTAATGCTGGACATTGGTGGAATTATGAGAAGACTGTCAAAATGTAAGGATTTTTTCATCTGTTATTCCGATGGGCTGGAGTGTTATTCTTAATAAAAAAGCTTGTGCGTATATTACTTTGTTGATAGTTTGCAACGATATTTTTACTCCTTATGTGATTAAGCGATCATTGTTGAAGTTGTAATAATGTGACATTTATCTTGGCCTCATTTTGTTACATAGGGGATGTTACTTCCAAATAGGGGAGGAAGTGAAGATGAATATGACAATTGAAGATGCATTCAGAAAATCAGTGGAGACTGTAATTGATTGGATTGCAAATGAAGTAAACATGAACAAAACTTATGTCCTTTTCCGAACTTATGCTCCTGTGCATTTCAGGTTTGCCTAAACTTTCAAACAAACTTACACTTGTATCTTTATTTGCTCAAAATTTGTCTTTTAATTTTCTAATTTTCTCTAATAACATGGCTTTTTACAGTATGTTTCCTTTCACTACATCCTCTTTTGGCAAACATTTTTGTTTTTGGACTGTAATTTGTTTTTTAAATCTGGCATGAACTTTAAGACTCAAGGGCACATAACTCTATGCCTCTTAGGAGATGCATATGCGTTTGTCTTCTGTAACTGCTAATGTTATGTTTCTTTAAAATAGTATATTATCATCCTTGGCAACGTAGAGGATCTAGATATTTAGTTTCAAGTTATCAAAGTAGTCGTTGAAAAGTTGTTTGTGGGGTGGGGATGAGAAAACAATCAAGATCTGAGTATAAATAGCTCATGGAATGCAATGGGTTGGAAGGAGACAAAACCAGTAGCTTTTAAATGGAGCTGCTTGAGATAATGAGCAAAATTTTTCTCTACAAAATTTCATATTTGTTTTCCAACCACATCAGCTGCATAATGAGTAATGTTTTTCCTTATTCTTACTGACTTCAGTTTTCCTACCCAATTTCATCTAATTATACAAGTGTTGACTGGCATCAACTTGTTTAATCCTAAGGAAAACTAAATTTTAAACGGAATATAAATGTGTGTAGAGTATTTGTCTGTTATTTCTTCTCCATATTTTTTGTGGTTTGGTTCCATGTCTAGCCTATCTGGTTTTGTTCCTTCCCATTAATTTCTTGCTGGTTCCTTTTTCGATCAAACTGTTAAAACCTTTTTTTAATAAATGTCATAAACCAATTTTCCCAAAAGCTTAAGCTAATAGGAGAAAACACATGAATAATTTTATGTTTTATCTCTAATGTGCGCCATTACGTAAAAGCCTTTTGGGACTAGGTTTGCAATATAAACAATGCACTGACCTAATTATAGAGTTGAAATTTAACTTCTTATTAGAAGAATGGAGGCGGCAAGGATTGATACATGTCATGAGTCAACTCCACCAAAAGTTTAAACCATTAGATGAAGAAGATACATAAGTGGTTTTATAATATTTCTTTAACAATAACTTTCTTTATGCCTGTAATGACTAATACTTGCTAGCATGTAGTAGAAGATATGAATGAGTCATAACACATTTGGTGGATGTTGCAGGGGTGGTAACTGGAATTCTGGTGGCGGTTGTCACTTGGAAACACTACCTGATTTAGGCTCCTTGCCAGCAGTATCCGACATCCATTTCAGAACTGTCTTTGATGTCTTGTCAGAACACAGGAGTAAATCACAAGTTTTGAATTTGGACTTGCTAAATATCACCCAAATGTCATTAGGCAGAAAAGATGGCCATGCATCTATTTACTATCTTGGGCCAGGCAAGGGCACAGCCTCTATGCAGCGGCAAGACTGTAGCCATTGGTGCCTACCTGGTGTTCCTGATTCTTGGAATGAGATTCTTTATGCACTTCTTCTTAAGCGTGATGCTTTTTCTCAACGGAATACAACTAAAGTTTCTCAAGTTTTACTATAATTGGTCTATAAAGTTCTCACTACAATCTCTACCAACCCTTGATGTGCTGCCTTCTTATCTATCATTGGTGAATGACTTGAAGCTGAGAGTTCAATTTGGCATCTCTGTGGTTAGTCTCACTACTTGGAAGCATCTAACTTTTTGTTACTGTCTCATGTTACAGAATTTCATTCTTGGCAAGCAAAGAAATTAAGCTGTTTTAATTTACTGCAAAATGATTGCTTGATCCTCTTTGTAGTGGTCTGTCATTGTAGGTGAACATAACCAGATGGGATGTTAATTTTGAATGGTGTATTTCAGGGATAGCTTGTATTATAAAAAAAATAAAAATCACTGAGATACAAATTTGTTGGGAGTAGAATACATACTACATATTTATTCTGTAAATTTTTCATGATTTCGGTCTTGAAAATTGTAGTGGGAGATATGCCTAGTCGTTGATGTTGCTGTTTGTACATATAGTATATAAAAGGAATTGGGTTTTTTTGGTCAATTGTTTTCACTTATAGAGTTAAATACACTGGAATTATTTTTATGCACGGTGCTTTGCATTTTGCTCATAATCCATTGTATTAATAGTACATGTTTACAAGTTTAATTTGACTCAAACGGGTGCTCCAGAAGATCGTTACGGCTCTATCATCTATTCATGCATGTAATCTGGTTCAAGTGTCAAGATTTATTTGTAATTTCGGCCTCCTTTTAATATTGCTGTCGAATCATATACGTAGTATATTGATTACAAATGTATAGCTGATTCGAATATATTTTTTTTACCTGATTTTCTCATTTTCTGAAATGTTTGCGTGAACGTTCGTATCAAATTAAATTATTGCTTTTTCTTTAGTTGATTATTTATTTAAAGGAGAATTTTTTTTAATCAATACCTTAAGTTTCATTGGTTAATAATACGTATAATAAAATATCTATAATTCATCAATAAAACAACCTTTAATCAATTAAATCAAACTTTGATATTTCTTAAAATTAAAAGCTTCGAAGTTTCTATTTTATGTTTTTAAGTAAAATGATCTTTTATCAATTAAGCTTATATATATATATATATATTCCTGTGTTTAAAATACTGGTTCAATGCATGGATACGTTTTGTTGAAATTCACATCTGTACTTTGCGTGAGCAATACTCAGGCAATTTTTGTTGAAATTCGCATTCTCTATTTTTCGTGAGCCATACTCGGCAGTGTCTTTGGTTAAGTACTTAAGTGCATTATTTATTATTATAATTAAACTACGAATTTTTTTTTCTATATTTGGTTAACAATCACGTTTGAGGCTACAATTCGGCCTTGAATGTCGTTTCATATCAAGTGGGGTGTTTGGGTGTTAATTAACTCAAATAGTTTTTGTGGATTAAGATTGAATTTGTTATCAACCTAACAAATAGGCCCATATCTAACAATGTTTAACAAATAAACAGCATAACTAACCGAGGATAAAGGAATATGTTTTTATCCTAATTATAAGAAAAGTTCTCGTAATAATTCTAGAATAACTAGGGTCCAAACCCAACCAAATAATTACTATAAGTCTATAACTAAGGATTAAAGTCATTAGGTACAGTATTAAAAAAAGAAAAGAAAAGTCATTAGGTACCTATTTTTTGCTCATTTTATATTGACTATCATTATGCATAATACTCCTCGTTCTGGCTTGCCACGTGATCAGTATACAGATATTTTTTTAAGATTGATTTATAATTAAAAATAATTATAATTGATGCATTAAAATGACTTAAAATCAATTTTTTATAATCTTGTACAAACAGATCCGAAAATATTATTCTTCCGAAAAAGATATCCAAGCAAACGAAGCATATCAAACAGTTTACTTGTTCCTTAATTTTGGTACATCACCTTTTCCCCATGTGAAGATTTAGAATCGCGCAACCAATCTCTTATTCAACATGTAGAAGAATCATGTAGGTTCTAATCACATGTACCAAAAAAAAAAGGAAGAAAAAAAAAAGACATGCAAAAGAATCATAACCCAAAAGTATAACAATAATAAATTGAAATCAGACTTCAGAAACGAAAGAGGGAGTGTTTTGACTTTATAACCAAGGCATAATAATTGTTGGGACGCATCATAATATGCCAATGCATTACATTTACAAACTTAGAGCCATTTTTTGGATGGAAACTTGAAACCCAATGCCTATGAGCTTTTGCATAAAAAGCCTAATGATGGAAACTTGAAAACCAAAGCTCAAATATTCTATTTCTAATCGTCAAACGGGTATTGCTCGTACCTGATTGTGCAATCATGGAGCATTGAACGAGCCCCTATCCGTGGTGTCTGACAAGTGCTGAATAAGGACCTTTTAGCAACACCAAGACAAGTTTTGCAGTCAGAGGATGTTAGATTGAGGTTGCAAGCAGCATGTCCATAGGCAAAGGCATTAGGATAAGGCGAAATGTTATGGTACTCGTAATTTTTTTGGGTTGGAGTTTCTGTCTCTAAGTCTTCAAGAACATAGTTTAAACTAATAGCAAAAGGGTCCCCTGATGTGTACACGCCACCGTTGCAGAGAACTTTTGTGATGTTGGTATTGGGAACACTATCAGCAACACTCCACAGATACAAAATACCAATCACAATTGCTACAAATTTTGGAGAAAGGTCCATCTTCCTGTTGTCTTTGAATTCTAGCACACTCTCTCTGTCTATGTATGGGTTTGTATGCGAGGGTCCTTTCCTTTATCGATCAGTGGTTGTGCCTACTACCTCTATGTTCCATTATTCAATACCAAAGGTTTTGTCTTTTGTCATTTGTAATGATACTCTTTGTTATTCTTAAAATAAAATGTAACCTCTAACGGTACCTCATTTGGTGACTGAGCTTCCAAGGATTTGTTTGAGTCAGGGGTTCAAATTATGTCTCAATCAAATTTTTAAAAAATCTTTGAGGGCCAGAGACACTCATCCTTCGTGCAGTAGTGAAGCTCAATGCACCCGCTAAGCTCAATGCACCCGCGGTTCCAACGAGGGGTAACCTTAGGGACCGTACTTTTTTTTTTTTTTTTTTCAAATGAATCTTTTGGCACTTTGCTTTTAGTCTTTTAGTTTTACCTAGTCTTGTTGCTCATCTTGCAATTGAAAGTTCAAGGGCCTTGCTTTTCTTCCATGACTCCTCACGGGAATCAGGGAAGTTTCTTGGCACCACTAACCTCGTTCAGAGTTACAGAGAGCTCAAAACACTTTATAAAACTTAGTTAACAATTAATCAAATGAATACAAAAATTTATTTATTTTTAAAGAACTTCAACTCTCTTTGTACCTATATTAATTCACTCTAAATTTTATTTATGTGTCTGATAAAAGGCTATTAAGATAGGTTATGTTAATGAAAGTATTTTTTTATCTATTATTTAAAAAATTAAGTTTCCTTAAAATAACGAGTAGTGGCTGATTGAATTGCAAGAGCTTGTGACATGACAAGGTGTAGTGGAGAACCTTCTCTACTTTGTTTTTGTTGCCGGCCAATTAAACTTTGTTTAATGCGTTGATGGACGGCCTGACATTTTGTCACTAAAATATTTTTGTATATAAACTTAGAGTATTCTCTAAAAAAATAATTTAGTTTCTTAGTCTATTCTTCCTTAAAAGTGACATGTCTTATTTTCATTTTTTAAAATATTTTGATTTAATTGAGTATATATATATTTTTTAGTTTTAAATATTATTTCTCATTTAATTTATACTTTTAAAATTATCCTAAAATTAATTATATATATGTTATAATTTTAAATGTTTTATTCTTGATTTTTTTGAAACTGTTTATTTTTCTATTTCATTTAAATTCAAAAAATACTTGTTGGAGATATTTACTAGTTTTAATGTACTTTTGGGTTCAATAAAATAAAACTGGTCCAATAAAATAAAGGATTTAATGTTTCTAAAGTGAATGTAGATAAGTTATCTACATTCACTATCAAAACGACGTCGTTTTAGATTTAAAGATTAAAAAATTATAATGGAAAAGACTATTATGACCCTGAAATAAATTATAATTACAAAAATACATTGATTTCCGCCTCAAAACAACGTCGTTTTGGGCTCACTGTAGATAAGTTATCTACATTGACTATAGAAAAAGCGAACCCTAAAATAAAATAGGCCCAATTTTAAAAAAGTTTTGTGGTTTGGTTCCATGTTTGTTATTCCTTCTCCATATTTTTTGTGGTTTGGTTCCATGTCTAGCCGATCTGGTTTTGTTCCTTCCCATTAATTTCTTGTTGGTTCCTTTTTCGATCAAACTGTTAAAACCTTTTTTTAATAAATGCCATGAACCAATTTTTGCAAAAGTTTAAGCTAATAGGAGAAAACACATGAATAATTTTATGTTTTATCTCTAATGTGTGCCATTACGTAAGAGCTCTTTGGGACTGAGTTTGCTATATAGATAATTCATAGACCTAATTATAGAGTTGAAATTTAACTTCTTATTAGAAGAATGGAGGAGACAAAGATTGATACATATCATGAGTAAACTCTACCAAAAGTTTAAACTATTAGATGTAAAAGATACATAAATGCTTTTATAATATATCTCTAACACTAACTTTCTTTATGCCTATAATGACTAATACTTGCTAGCATGTAGTAGAAGATATGAACGAGTCATAACACATTTGGTGGATGTTGCAGGGGTGGTGACTAGAATTCTGGTGGTAGTTGTCACTTGGAAACACTTCCTGATATAGGCTCTTTTCCTGCAGCAGTATCCAACATCCATTTGATAACTGTATTTGATGTCTTGTCAGAACACACGAGTAAATCACAAGTTTTGAATTTGGACTTGCTAAATATTACCCAAATGTCATTAGGCAAAAAAGATGGTCATGCATCTATTTACTACCTTGGGCCAAACAAGGGCACAACCTCTATGCGGTAAGACTGTAGCCATTGGTGCCTACCTAGTGTTCCTGATTCTTGGAATGAGATTCTTTATGAACTTCTTCTTAAAAGGGATGATTTTTCTCAACAGAATTATTAGGATAAGATTCATAGTTTGTTATCTTGTTGTACATGATAAGAATAGTTTGTTATCTGTTGTATTTTAGTTGCATATGATCCACTGTTTCCATGCACTTGGATTCCTTTTTCCTAAGACTTCTAGTTCATCTAACTAATGAATTGTATATGTTTATATTACTTCATTAGTTTATTTAATGGCCAATACATGAATAATATCAGCAAGCTGCTTATTTGATTGCAACTTCCTTTATGGTATCAAGAGCTTGGCGATCCTTCGTCAATTTTTTTATCGACTTCTATAAATCAATCTCTCAAAATCACCGATCCCAAATCACCATTTTTTTCTTCATCCCTCTAATCATCCTGGTGTAATTCTCACCACTGTCCTTTTACGTGGGCAATCCAACTATGAAAATTGGTCAAAGTTAATGACTAATGCATTAAAAGCCAAGAACAAGCTTGGTTTCATTAAAGTTAGTGTTAAGGAACCTATTGATAACACTTCTGATGAAGCATATGCTTGGTCCCTGTGCAACTCCATGATTAATAGTTGGGTTCACAACAACATAAATTCTCAATTGTAACCATTCATCAAGTGCTTTGAATTTGTGAAAAGTCTATGGGATGATCTCAAGGAACGTTTTACGGTTGCCAACATTCCCCATATCTTCCATCTCAAAGCTTCTCTCGTGAGTATAAAGCAAAATGGCGCACCTATTATAAATTACTACACAAAGCTTCGATCCATCTGGGATGAATTGGAATCTAGCCACGCGTTTGATTCCTGTGCCACCTGTGATACTTGTTCCTTCACAAAATTGGTTGTTGTTGAACTAGAAAATGATCGCATCTATCAATTTATTATAGGCCTTGATCATGCTGTCTATGGTACCCTTACCACTCAGATCCTCAATAGTAATCCACTTCCTACCATTAATCGAGTTTTCGCTATGGTCATTCAAGAGAAAACACATAAAGCTATGGTTCGTTCTTCTGAGACTCCCTCTAACGCTCTTGGTTGTGCCATCACCAATGCACCCTCTGATCCACCTAAGCCACACATTATCTGTACTCACTGTGGAAGTCCCAACCATGACATCTCTCGTTATTACAAACTCTATGGCTACCCTGATCGTACCCTTGCTGGACGTGGACGTAGATATGGTCACTCTACTCCAAGATGACCTGTTTCTATTTTCACTCATGCCATTCATTCTGGTGTATCTCCTATCGATGTGGCCCCTCCAGACCTTTGTCTGTTGATGATTTTACTCCTGACATGCTTCAACATTTGATGTCTCTTGTTGTTTCCTCCAAAAGGTCCACTAAAAAATTATCAGGTATAGTATCTTCCAAACAGCCTTGGCTTTTGGATAGCAGGGCTTCCCCATATATGACTGGGACCATCTCCTTTCTTACTAATATCCGCACTATTTCTCCTTGTTCTGTAGGTTTACCAAATGGTACTCATACCCTTGCAGTCCAATGTGGGGACATTCAACTCACCTCTATGTTGCTTCTCACTAATGTTCTCTATATGCCATCACTTACATGCAACTTAATCTCTATCTCTCAGTTGATACGCTGCAACAATTGCATGGCTATGTTTACTGATCCTACTTGTTTTCTACAGGACCTGCAAACGAGGAGGACGATTGGCAAGGGTGTTGAACATGAAGGGGTGCATGTGCTTCGCCAACTTGTTTCTGCAAATGCGGTTCATGATGGTTTCTCTTTTGATTTGTGGTATTGATGCTTGGGACATCCTTCTAAGCATTATTTAAGTTTGCTTCCATTTGTTTCTAGTTCAAATAAAATGGCTTCTTGTGATGTCTGTTGTAAAGCCAAACAAACTCATACTTCGTTTCCTATTAATAAAAGGCATAGTTTGCAACCTTTTGATTTAATTCATTGTGATTTATAGGGGCCGTATCGAATTGTCTCATCCTCTGGTGCACGTTACTTTATTACTATTGTGGATGATTTTAGCCGTTATGTATGGATTTATCTGTTACGTGATAAGCATGAGACATGTTCTACTTAAATAACATTCATTACAATAGTGCAAACTCAGTTCAAATCCATGGTTAAATGGGTTCAAACCGATGACGGGATTGAGTTTATCTCTTCCCCTCTTCGTTCCTTCTTTGCTAATCGTTGCATTCTCCATCATTTAACATGTGCATACACGCCATAACAGAACGGTAGAGTTGAATGACGCCATCGCCACATCCTTAACGTGGCACGTGCCTTGCACTTTGATGGACATCTCCCTCTCACTTTATGGGGTGAATGTATCCTCACAGGCACAGCTTCCCATTTGATTAATCAAACTCCCACTATATGTCTTAAAGTAAAATGTTCATATGAAGTAATCTATGATACTGCACCCAGTTATGATCATATTCGGCTTCTTGGTTGCTTATGTTATGCCACAATCTTGCCTAAACCGCCTGATAAGTTTGCTGCACGCTCCTGTAAATATGCTTTTGTTGGCTTACCCATCTAACAAAAAGGGCTGACGGTGTTTGATTTGGATATCAAGGAGATCTTTGTCTCTCGTGACGTTCAATTCTTCGAAGATGACTTTCCTTTTGAATCATTTACTATGGACATTCCTCAGGCTCCCACATAGCCTATCTCTACACCTATGATTTTATATGAGCTGTATGATACTGGTGCACCCCCTTTGGATGTTGCACCTTCTTTGGATGTTGCACCCCTATCTGACCCAGAGTCTGCTGATAGGGGGAGCTTTTCTATCTCTCCATCTCCACCTTCCGAACCTCCTTCTCTCATAAGAAGACCTCATCGGCCACCAGTATATCTCCAAGATTATCATTGTCACATTGTTATTACACCTTCTTCTATCAACACTCTCTCCAATGTTCCCTCAGGTATCCTCTATCCTATTGAAAACTTTGTTACTAATCATGTTTTCTCCTCACAGCACAAAAAGTTCTTAGCGGCTGTTAGTACTACCATAGAGCCACGTTCGATCAAAGAAGCTATGAAGAATCCACTTTGGCAGCAGGCTATGAAACTTGAAATTCAGGCCCTTGAGGATAACCACACGTGGGTTGTTATTCCTCTCCCTCATGGCAAGAAGGCAATTCCTTGCAAATGGGTTTTTCGAATCAAATATCACTATGACAGCTCTATAGAACGATACAAGGCTAGATTGTTCATTGCTGGCAATAACCAAATTGAAGGAGAAGATTATAATGAAACATTCACTCCAGTTGTAAAAATGGTGAGTGCATGCACTTTTCTCTCTATCGTTGTTGCAAAGGGATGGAATATTTATCAATTGGATGTTCAAAATGCTTTTCTCCATGGTGATCTTGAGGATGAAGTATATATGTGATTCCCTCCTAGTTTCTCTTCTAGTCCTCCTGGCAATGCATGCAAACTACAACGTTCCCTTTACGCAACACAACATCATAATGTTATTGCTGGGGATGTTGGAGAAATTGAGAAAGTGTATGCATGACATAACTCAACTCAAGCCTAGTTTATGGTAAGATATATGAGGCGACCTACAAGACGTCGATAACGTGTAGGGTCATCATAAGCAGGATCATCTGCAAGGGCTAATTTATGATTCTGGTCCATGGGAAAATCAGTTGGTTTGCAACCAAGTAAACCACTTTCACTCAATATATCCATGGCAAATTTTCGTTGACTTAGAAATAAACCAGATAAGCGACGGGAAAATTCAAATACCGAGAAAATATTTAGATTTTAAAAGACTTTTTTGAGCTAAAAAATCTTATAGATTTTAAAAGACTATTTAGAATTGGAGAGACTTTAAAGAATTTTTAAAAGACTTTTTTTACAATCAAGATTTCATAAGATTGGATTTTAAAGGATTTTAATAGAATTTATAAGATTTGAAAGGACAATATGGATTTATAAGATTTTAAAAAATCATATGAATTTTTAACAAACATTCAAAATTACAAGAGTCAATAAAAAAAGGGAAAAGTTATACTTACAACCTATTTTTGCTTATAATATTTTACAACCATATCTTAACCATTGATGTTCGTCAATCAACGATTATCATTCATTGCAAATTAAATATTAATTAATGAGTTTGATTTGCGAAAATAATAACCGTTGATTGACGGAAATCAACGGTTAAGATATGGTTGTAAAATGTTGTAAATAAAAATAGGTTGTAAGTATAATCTTCCTCATAAAAAAAGTAACAAATGAATGCAATGAAATTAATAAAAAAAAGTAAAATCTAATATAATTTTCTCAATCAGTAAAACATAATATAATTTTTAACAAACATTCAAAATTATTAAACAAAAGCTTTTCACATATCTAATGGGTTGAAAATTATCTTTTTCATTTGGTATTAAAGCTATTGATATATGATTATAAGACCCAATTTTTTTAATTATAAAAATAATTCTAAATTTGCATATAGAACCTAAAGTTCATGATAAAATTTCGTTTGGAATTTTTGGCAATTGATCTTGAAAATCTTTGGGTTTTTGTTTTATGTGATGAGAGTTTCCTAACCATATATCATATGCATAATTTCATTGAATATTCTAAGAAAATTTCGAATCTGAAATTTTGGGTTTAATTACACGAAAGTTTAGAAAATTTATTAAATTTTTTTCAATCGATACATTGAAACCTTAAATTGCTTTGGAGCTTTTGAGAAACAAGTTTTTAGTTATTTATTGACACAAAAATTGTTTGAAATCGTTTTTATAGTGAAAGAATTTTGTTTATGAATGTATTGTTACGAAATATAGGGTTCATATTATGAAAGTTTCAATCTTTTTTTAAATTGATATTGTTTCATTGATGTAAAACAAAAATTGATTTGAGGGTTTTAGTTCCCTTATTATTTTTTCACTGTTTTATGTTGTTTTTAATACAAAAATCACACATTTTTGTGCCAAGAAAAACCGCGACCCATAGCTTGAAAAATCACTTTTTAAACTTCCAAAATTTCTCAAAAATGGCTCAAAAATATGTTATTTTTGAGATGGATTATATTGAAATCTCGTTGGCATGTTGTTTTTTGGTTGTTTTGTGATGAAAATTGCTCAAAAATATTTTTTTTTTTTAGTTTTGACAAAACTCCCATGGCGGAACCCAATTTAGAGCAGTCAACTTACCAAAGGAAGAAGAAAACACTGCAATAGAAGAATCTCAAAAAATCCTAGGGGTTAGGGTGAGATTGTGAAAGAGGCATCATATATATACTTTTCACTAAAAAGTCTCACGAAATCCACAACAATAGAAAATCCATTAAAATCGTCAGATTTTTGAATACCACGAGATTGTGATTCAATTTTTTTAAAATCTTGATTGAATACTAACAGATTTAGACGGATTCTAAAATAATCCTTTAAAATCCTAATCGAATACCACATGACTTCTTTTCAATCCATTAAAATCCTAATTGAATACTGATCTGGATAAATACTATGCAAATACAAGGCCCAACATAAAAGCCTTCACAATGAAGCTATCTTATCTCTTCCACCAAGGCTATCTCAACAAGCACCTTAATATTTATGGCTACATGACAAACAAGCTCCTCAACCTTAAAGACTCCATGACAGCCATACTACTTTGGCACCAAAGAACATTTGCCTTCACCATGAAGAAAGACATCTTCCAAGGAGCACATCACTCCATTATAAATACATGTATCAACACTAAGGTAGATCATCTTCTCCTACATAATTAAACCTGCTTGAACCATATCTGACTTGAGCGTCAGAGTGTCTTGCAGGTACACCCCCTCGCGTTCCATAGAAGACCCATGGGTTAAAGCTGCTCCAAACTCCAAGCTGCAAGATGCTCTGATCCAAGGAAGTTCGTTCCATGCCTTTGTGTAGAGGAAGATAACATGATCAATCCAATTGTAAAGATCTATTCCAATCAAATACCAACGGATTTTTTTTTTCTAAAAACTGCAAAATGATTGCTTGATCCTCTTTGTAGTGGTCTGCCATTGTAGGTAAACATAACCAGATGGGATGTTAATTTTGGATGGTGTATTTCAGGGATAGCTTGTATTATGAAAAATAAAAATAAAAATCACTGAGATAAAAATTTGATGGAGTAGAAGGCATACTCTATATCTATTCTGTAAATTTCTCATGATTTTGGTCTCGAAAATTGTAATGGGAAATATGCTGTTTGTACATAGTATATAAAAGGAGTTGGGTTTTTTTGGTCAATTGTTTTCACTTATATGGTTAAATACCCTGTAATTATTTTTATGCATGGTGCTTAGTTTGCTCATAATCTACTATACTAAAAGCACATGTTTACAAGTTTAATTTAACTCAAACGGGTGTTCCATAAGATCGTTACGGCTCTATCATCGATTCATGCATGTAATCTGGTTCAAGTGTCAAGATATATTTGTAATTTCGGTCTCCTTTCAATATTACCGTTGAATCATATACGTTAGTATATTGAGTACAAATGTACAGCTAATTCGAATATTATTTATTTGATTTTCTTATTTTTTGTGATATCTGCATGAGCGTTCCTATCAAATTAAATTGATATTTTTTCTTTAGTTGATTATTTATTTAAATGAGATTTATTAATTAATTTATTTTAATGAATACTTTAAGTTTCATTGGTTAATAATACGTATAATAAAATATCTATAATTCATCAATAAAACAACCTTTAATCAATTAAATCAAATTTTGATATTTTTTTAAAATTAAAAGCTTCAAAGTTTCTATTTTATATTTTAATTTTTTATTATTAAGTAAAATGATCTTTTATCAATTAAGCTAATATATATAGGGGTTTATATTTTTGCAGCTGCTATACGTGCAGCAATCAAATACTTGCCATATATATACTTGAAAGCATTAAATGCAAGGAATCGAAATCATACAAAGGATGAAAGTATTAAATGTGGAGAATCATAACCATACACCTGTCGTTGTTGTACGTAAAACGGCTGCAGAAATAATTTTACGATATATATTTATATATATTATATGAAAAAGATATTTCTACAGCCACTTTACATAAGTTTATTACCGGAAGTATAGTTATAACATTAAAAAAAGTTATTTTTTTTCTCACTCTGCATATAGGTTCTAAAAGGTGATTGAGGAAAGAGAAAAAAAGTATAACTATGTACTATAAATAATATAGATTTATAAATGGTAGTTGTAGATAATTTTATCTAAATTGATTGTATGTTTATCCATATATATATATATATATATATTTTTTTTTTTCTGTGTTTAAAATACTGGTTCAAAGCATGGATAATTAAGTTTTGTTGAAATTCACGTATGTACTTTGCGGGAGCAATACTCAGGCAAATCTCGTTGAAATTCGCATTCTTTATTTTTCGTGAGCATACTTGTTCAATGCATGCATGGATACGTTTTGTTGAAATTCACATATGTTCTTTGCGTGAGCAATACTCAGGCAAATTTTGTTGAAATTCGCATTCTTTAATTTTCGTGAGCCATACTCGGCAATGTCTTTGCCGACGGGTTAAGTGCATTATTTATTATCAGGAAAATTAATTTCTTATATAATAGGAGATAATTTTATCATCTTACTAGGCATCAAAATTCGTATTATCCTTTTTTTTTTTCTTCTTCTTTTTAATTAATATTGGGCTCTACCACTTATTGTGCCTATGACATGAAAAATACTAAACATAAGAAAAGAGAAGCTCTTATTATTATTATTAAGGAAAAAATGTGTGTCATTTTAAAGAATGTAAATTTGTGTCATTTTAAAAGAGAGAAAGAGATAAATAAAGAAGGAAAGAGAGTTGACCAAAAATTAAAGGTGTGGGTCCCATCTCTTCGTGAGAGTGAAAGAATATAAGTTGTGTCATTTAAAAGGACAAACACTTTTCCTTATTATTAAACTACCATTTTTTTTCTATATTTCGTTGACAATGACATTTGAAGCTACAATTCAGCCTTCAATGTTGTTTCATATCAATTAGGGCGTGCTGGAATGTTAAATGCAGAATTGAATCAAATAGTTTTTGTAGATTAAGATTGATTTTATTATAAAAAAACATCAATAGGCTCATGTCTCAACAATGTGTAACAAATAAACAGCATAACTATTGTACCCAAAAAGAATAAAAATAAACAGCATAACTAACTGATGATAGAGGAATAAGATTCTTATCCTAGAAGATAAGTCCTCGTTACCATCCTAGAATAACTATGGCCCAAGCCCAATTAGATAATCACTAACTGATTTAAAGATGCATTAATAACCCCATAAATTGAATATAATCGCTTTAATTGGGTTAATCTTATTTGGTAGCTTATAATATAAATATATTTATTTAATATTTTTTGACTGTAAGTTAAATTTAACTCTGGCCGTGGGTACTAAAACCAGCTAAATCTCCAAGTTCCTCCACCTCTTTCACCGATGTCTCCACTTTTTCCACCATTTCCATAAGCAATGACCCGAAGTTTGCAATTGTTAGCACTTCGCCATTCTCAGGTGTTGCAACCTTGGATGTGGAAATTACCAAGTTTAGCTCTGCTTTTGCTGCTTTCAACTTGGCCAACATGCTGCCCTCTGTTTCGCATTTTCTCATTTGCTTCATACTGTCACCTAGTTCTCGCAGGGTCCATACAATCCATGACCCAATTGCTTCACATGGTTCTAAATGGACTGATTTTGACTGCCTCAGAGATGCCATGGACTTGTTACAAAGATTCATTGAACCAAATAAATGAGCCCATCAAATATATTTTCGTCATTTTGCAATCATATAAATTGTATGTAAAATATACCTACTTGTTCTGAGCCTCGAAGGCAAAGTTCCACTGCAACAATAAATGCAGCCAATTCTCGAAGAGCCTCTCCAATGTTTAGGTACTTTTCCCATGGGTAGGAAAATCCGAATTTTCCATGCCAAGGTTCCCATTTTGCAAAATTTGCCTGAAACAAACAAGCATAAACATTGATTCAACACTTGCACCTTCTCTCTATCGAAGTAATCGCTCACATTGGAAACAAAAAATAGCTCAACTTAATATTTAGCTTTTCATTCCCTATTTTATTTCAGATCTTAATTATCTTTTTGAGATGAGTTGATCCGAATATTTTTATAAATTTTAATTCTTTGAGTTAATTATGAGACTAATATCGGAGTGAGACTTAGTTACGATTAAACTTCACCCCTCCCCAAATATGTATATGGTGGAATCTATGGGTGTGAATAAGTTCGGTCGGGTTAGACTTTACCTTAAATAGGCTGTACTTGTGTAAAATAGTTTAGGTATGGTTTGGTCTGTGTTAGCCTTGTGTAAGTTCAAATCATAAGCCTTACCTTATCTATTTTAAAAAATAAAAGTCCAGGCATAGATCTGTTAGCATGTTTAAGCATATTAGTCATTCAATAATTAGAAAAATAATTAAAATAATTTTACCTTTATTATTCAAAATTATTAAAATAATAATTTATTTATTTTATTTAAAATAAATAATATATTATAAACCGGTTTGTAAGCTAATAGGCTCGGTAAGTAAAAAAAAACATATGACCTGTTTTCTAAATAATTTTTTTAAAGCATGTACCTCTTCTATTTGATTATATGCAATAGGTCGAGTTTGACTTGATGTAGCCCAAGTCATGAGCTCCTATCAGGCCTATTTACACCTCTAGAGAATCAAACCTAGATTCTCTTCTCACCCACTCGGATTGTATTACCCCTATTAGGTCCATTTACAGTGTTACCAATTTAAGTACACCCATTGGCTCATTCAGTAACTTTAAGTAAGATATCTAATTTATCTAAGAGAAAATCGTTTTTACATCAACTGCAGAAAGCTTTCTGCGTTTGCTCCCGATTTTTTTGTCTCAGTGGCAAGATTTGTTCTCTGCCACTCATGCAAAAATAAAACCTTTTATCTAATATGTAAAATAATAATAATAAAAAATCTACGTACCATCAATTCATCCTTGGACTTGGAGTTCAACAACGACTTGCAAATATTGTTGTTAGCTCGGGGTTGGTTTTCCTTTTCACCAGCCAATTTGGTACATTCTTCTATGATATCTACAATGAAAAACAATTTTTTTTTTTTGACTTAGATATATATTTAAAGCTTTATTATTGAACCCCATCCACTTGTTTATGAAAGAATTGAATTTGAACATGAAAATCATCATTGTTAGAAACCCTAATCTCATATATATATATATATATAAAATAAGTTCTCATGTTGTTGCTGGAAAAAAAAAAGTTTTCCCACCACCCCTTATAATTATGTATTCTATAATTATGTATTCTAGGAAGTACATAATTATAATAATATTAAAGTTATATTTTTTTCTCTCTAATCAGATATTGTCAACTGACATAGAGAGAGAAAAAATAACTTTAATATTGTAAATATGTACTCTGGAGAGTACATAGTTATCAGTGATGGTATTAGAAGAACTTTTATGCAGCAACGGGAGAAAAAAATATGATTTATTGCTCTCATATTATAGGAGATAAAATTATCTCATACACACACATAGAAGTATATATATGGGATCCGTACTTTCTTTTTCTCTCTCTTATCTTCACATGACCTCATACACTTTATATATGTGTAAGAAATAATTTTATTTCTTATAATATGACAAATATCAAACTCATATATATATATATATATATATATATATATATATATATATATATATGTATATATATATTTTGGTTAGTGTATTGAATATCTTTGCTAGACTCCATTACAGGGCCCAATTATCAAACTGCCAAAAAGTAGCATGTCACAATAGTTATCTCGGCCACTTGCTGGATCTAAATGAGTTAGATGACCTACTATCCTACTTATATTAGATTATATTTGATCTATTATATCTAGTAATATAGAATAAGCTCAAATATTTGAAAAAATTTATTTAGAAAGTAGGTCATGAGCTTTTTTTTATAATGCCTGACCTATAAATCTAGAGACTGACCTATATCATATTATTTATTTTAAATAAAATAAGTAAAATTATTATTTAAATAATTTTGAATAATAAAGTAATATTATTTTAATTATTTTCTAAATTCTTGAATGTCTAATAGGCTTAAATAGACTAACAAGTTATTTCAGACATTTTATTTATTTTATTTTTTTTGATAACAGACATTTTATTTTTTAAATATAGTTTAAGCCAGACTTATAATTTGATTTACTCCAAACTAATAGATCAGACTAGACTTCAAATATTTTACATAGATACGAGATCTTTAAACAAAAAAAAACATGACCTCTATAGGTTAAAGCCATGCCCTAATCAGCCCATTTAGTTATTGCATTGTTTACATGTGGAGTGCACTGTAACCTCGGCCATTGCTTCTACATTACGGATGTCTATGACAACATTATAAATATCATTTTTAATTTCTTTTATTTTTGGTAGAAAAACAAATATTAGAAATATCATTTTTAATTTCAATTAGTGAACATATATGATTAAAAATTATTTGGCAAAACTAGTTTAGTATAATTTTTTTGTTCCTGAGGACAAAAATTGAATTTTTTTTTCTTTGTTCCCAAATATATTATTTATTAAATACACACATCGTATAATGTGTGTTATCAAATATTTTTTTTCTTCAGAAACCCTTCTTCGTCATAAAAATAAAAAAATTATTTTCCTCCAAAAATAAATTAGAAATAGAATATTTGTCATGCACATTCTATGTAATCTAGCACCAAAGCAACCCTTCGCACTTATCATTCATATTTGTCATGCACACTCTGTGTAATCTAGGCACCAAAGCAGCTCTTTCCCCCCCTATCATTCATAAGTACAAACGACTTAAATCCTCGAGTACACAATCTTCTCTAGTTTTACGGACTCCAGTCATTGCAAGGGCACCACCACCACCTCTTCACCAAAGCACACGTACGAACCACCATAAATAATTCTCAACCAGCATACAATGAACTCTACATCAACATCATATCATGTCCAAATAACTCGGACATAACAATATATATGAAGTATTCTATAAAAAGAAATATGCTTTTTTTGGTACATGTTAAAAAACTTAAGTGGGTTATTTAAAATATCACAAAAATACTAAATTAAAAGAAATTTATATTCTGAAAATGTTAGCAGACATATTTAATTAAGGCCTTTTGATCCTTATTTAATGTGAAATGAAAATATTTTTTCTTATTGGTTTAGGCAAATATTTTGTCAAATAGGAGATGCATGCATTTAAGTTGTGTATGCGATGATGTGCAATTTATGTAAAAGTTAATGCAAGTTTGTCATATGTCGCACACAACAAGTTGCGAATATCCCCAGTACGACTTGAATGCACACATATCAATATACTTTCATCATATTATTTTGACAAAATATTTAACTAAAGATTGATGAAAAATTAAGAAGTAGAAACCGTTTTTGCTTGAGATTGTATATACCTTGAATTGTATTGGCAAGGCCTCGGAATCGTGAAACTGTAGAATGATGAAGCTCATCGCTGGCCCACATGGGAAAGACGAACAAGCTCACACAAATACAAACAAGCAAACCCATTAGAATTGTGGAGAGACGTTCACGGGCTGCTTTCCAGACACTGTCTTTAGAACCATCACTTATGCCATACATCACAACTAGATTGAAAGTCATTATGAATATCATAAATCCGTAATCGTATCTCTTCTTGATGCTTGGAACCGTTCGTAAATATGTAGCAACTGATCCTGAAATTAATATGTACCCCACCTAACGTTAATTTATTAAAGATATGCACTTCAAATTAAATATAATAGGTAATAGGTTCAACTATAGTACAGTTATTACCACATGCATAATGTTCTAATACTAGTAGAACTGACTAGCCAGAAGGCAAGAATCTTCACAATATTTAAGTCTTTGTCACACAAAATTGAAAATATATATAAAAAAACTTACCAGAGATAAATACTGAAGCACCAAGCATAATCAAGTCGGCAACCCCTCCAATGCGTAGGGCTAAAATTGCTGTTAAGAAACCCAATCCTCCTCCTAAAAGAGTTGCCATTCCACGATTGAAGCCCTTTCCTAGTGATGCTCCTGATATATATGTTGATCAAATTAATGTACATTAGATTCATCATTGCTTCCGAGCCATTACAATATATTTTAATTTCTACCATCTTTGCAACGAATAAGAATTGAAGCAATAATCATATTATATGTTATATAGTAAAGTACCTGCATAGAATTCAAAGACTACGACAACAGTTATGATAGCCCACATTGCATTGTCCCCAACTCGGTCATACAGAGGTTTCAAGATGAATAGTAGTGAAACCAAAACCAAGGCGATTCCCACTTTGATACTGTGGATTATATTCCTAAAGTTACCATTCATATGCTTGTCCCAGAAATTGGAAGCAATGGAGAAAAGAGAGCAGTGGAATTTATTTTTCCAAAGATAGGAATCAATTGCAATGGGTGATAGGAGTTTTTTTTTGTCCATCGTATGAGCAATATTTTCTTCTTCATTCGTTATGGATACTATTTCTATTGATTCCATTTTGTCTTTCCTTCCCCTTTTCGCTCAATAGCTTTTTTCAACTCATTCTCTTTGGGGGAACCTCCCCTTCTTATACTATGCGGGATCAGTTGAAGTACCAAATATTTTTGGTGTGAATTGACCTTGGCTTGGACAAACAAGTAGAACGTCATTATTAGTGTGACGCACATGCAAGCACACACGAGCTACTTGTTTGTCATTATTTAGTGTGTGCAATTAGCACCCGAGCTACTTGTTTGTCATTATTTAGTGACCTTAGTGTGACGTACATGCAAGGACACGAGCCACCGTACATTATGCAGAATTCCGTAGCAGGATACACTTATTTTATAGGGACAATTACTTTTACAATTTTTTTTTTTGTTTATAACTTTTACAACTTCAATTATGTATTTCGGAAAGTATAAATACTTGAAAGTGTATTCTCTGAAATACATAGTTGAATTTATAAGAGTTGCAAACAAAAAAAATTGTAAACGTAATCATTCCTTATTTTATATGTAGGTTAATTATTACATTTGTGGCCACTTTTCGCTGTCTATGTAATTACATGGTTAAATTTTATATGGATTCTATGAATCCAGGTTTATGAAATAAGCATGATAGGCCTCCTCCATTGTGCTTTAATTCTTCGAATGTATAAATTCATTTTCACACTCCAAGCTACGATACATGCTTGTATTTGCATGTCTATAAAATGTCGCGTGTAACTGCGTGTTTCAAATGCTTTTAGCTACATTTTGGGTCCTTCAATTATCTGCAACTTCATATCCATTGCTATTATTTAGCACTACCAAATTAAAGATGGTACTTTTTCTCTCAAGTAAAAACGATAATACATGCACGTGAGGATTAATATATTAGACACGATTTTAGAGCATGAATGGCTTACACAAGCCAAGCACCAATCGTGCAACACGCATTGGTTTATAATTCCATTGTGGAGAAAAGCATGCTCTATAAGGCGTGATTGAAACGGAACACGCATTTGTTTAAGATTCGATAATAATATGAAAAATGCTACATTCATTATACATAAAAATTCAACCCATCTATACAAAAAAAAAAAATTCAACCCACGTTACCGTTAAGCATGTGTATCAATGGGTAGGAAGTTGTTCCAGCCATTGACAATCATATAATGGTTTATATAAAAATAATTCAATCCATCGTTATTGCTAAACTCACCAACCAAAAGGAGGTATCCCCGTACAAGCTGGGGTAGGCATATCTAATATATTGTATAAAAATAGTTTCTACACATTAATTTATAATTTAGAGCTGAAAAGGTGAAACTTAAGCAAATAGAAAAAGAAGACAATTAAATAAATACACACTCAGTACTGTGCGCTAATGTGGTTAAAAAAAAAAGAATTTAAGCCTGACACACCAAAATATGATGGGTTTTAATGTTCTCGAGTTTGAGTTCTTAAAATGTAGCTGTATTAAAACTTGGTATTAAGAACTTCTCCTCGTGGTGGCTCGAATTGGATTAGTTAAATAATCAATAAATCTATGGATAATAAGAAAAAAAAAGAGCAAAATATAATGATTTAATTATGTTTGATCATGGTGGATCATGATATTGGATCTTGGGTTAATGGTGTCTACAGAGAAGATGATCACTGCAAGTAAAGTAAGTCCCTGGGCATCATAGGATGACAGTAATAGCAAAAATGCTAGGGTTTTAGATGGATACCTAAGAGGTAAAATTTCCGACTTAGACAAGTGCACCGGTCGTACAAGTAATATAGTGAAAATAAATGGGGTTATCATTTCCACGAGGACTGATTACCAATCACTAATTTATTTATGCGATTAAAGTTGGATCGATCTCAAAATGGTTTTGTTGAGAGAATTAATTTAATTTATAAAACAGAATTTTTAAAGAACTTATTTTTAATTTTCAATATTTAAGAAAACAAGAATTGAATTCAAAAATTAATAATGCGAAGGAAACAGTTTTTAACTTTTAATAACAGACGTAGTTAGGAACTCGACTTCCCATATTGGGTTCCTCAGCACACGCAATGGAGCCGTAGACAGTCAAGTGAAATCCAATCCACGAAATCATTTGATCTTCCTGCCAAATGGTGATTCACCATAGATTCTACATCTTGGAACCAAGCCAATTTTGGGGCAGCTTTGTGATAATGAAACCAACCAGCAAAAAGCATTAAGGCTGCAAAATCTAACGCACCGATTGCGGTACAATAGAGTTGTAATTCACTAGTTATTCCAGATGCTCTTTCTCAACGAGTTTAGCTTTCATGCAATTAAAGTTCGCAATCAATTATTGACAATTCTTTCTTATGTAACTGACTCCCCAATCCCTTGGTGGTTTCAGTTCTTTACTTTATTCCAAGGCTCTAATCCCTTAGGTTTTTTTTTTCTAAAGCAAGTTTTAAGGTCAAAAATTATGCGTCATGAAATTCATAAGACTATCACTAGAACATACAAATTTCTAGCAATTAACCAATCAAATTAAAGCATACAATATCCCTATTAGCATGCAAAAATCTACTGCTCATTCAAGATTGATCAGGTCAACAACAAGGCTATAAATATAAAAACAGATTAATTGCATAATTAAAATAAGAATAATAATTGCATCAAAGATTAAACAACTTTCAAGAACCCATTGGTTCTGTCGCGCCCTAACTACGTAAATAAATTTAGCCTTGCCTAATCATGGAATCAAAATTTAAAGATGAAAATAAACTATAGTGGTTCATAAAAACTAAGCAGGAAATTTAAACCGTGATTCTGTAATCTTCTCTTCTTATTTTCCCTTCTGCAATTGTCGTCTCCAGAATTTCTCTTCTGCTTCTTCTTAAGTCTCTGCTTCGTCTCTAAATTTCTTCCGTCTTCCGAATTAATTACACGACTTTCGTCTCGTCCTTTTAAAGAGTTAAATTGGGCTTTTTATTTTTGGATCAGCTCGATGAAGCGAGCTGCTTAGTGAACATATTTTATTCTCTCGCTTTTGAGCTCGCTGAAGTGAGCTGCTTAGCGAGCTAATTAAAACTTCTCGCTTGCTTTTCTCGCTGAAGCGAGCTGCGAGCCTGCGAATTGAGCAAGAATTAATTTTTCTTAATTCTTTATTTCCTTGATTTTGATCTCCCCAACTGATCCCAACTGTCATTTTCCATCTGATTAGAGATTTGTTATATTGGATCTGAAACAATATGAAAAGGGATTAGATTCTTATCTAGTTGTTGGTATTTGAATATCTTTTAGATTTATTAATTAACACTATATTAATAATCACATCAGACAAGAACACTGAATCAGAATTCAAAACATGAACAGTGTCATGACACTAAACAAAATTGAAATAATTTTCCAGTAATTTATATTCTCAAAATTCGGGCATATATATATATATATAATTAAATAGAACAAAACATAATAATTCAATAAAAATATATAATGCACCGAAAAAATTGCAAATAATATATCAATGATTCACAAATATTCCAAGAATCAAACAATTAAATGTCTGTTAATTTTGGCTTGAAATTAACATGTAATAAAATTTGAATAGCACACATTCACTACATCAGATAATCATGTTTGATGAAAATATGAACAACACATATTGCTATCACCTTATTAGCTATTTGCTTATTACGTGGCGGAAGATTTCGTCTGATTGCAATAATTCATGACAACCAATAACAATAATAACAACAATGAAAAATTATATAAGTGCAATATATATATATATATATATATATATATATATATATATATATAAATAAATAAATAAGTGTACACAATGCAAAACAAAAACAATTCACGTAATCATATATATATGGTAAAAGTATTTCTACAGCAACTTTAGATAAGCTTATCTACAGATGCCATTTTTAACTATATTCTTTCAGGAGAATATAGTTATAACGTTAAAGTTGTTCTCTTTTTTCTCTCATCATTTACTTTTCAGAACTTTTTTGCTGACGTGGAGAGAGAGAAAAGAGCAACTTTAACGTTATAACTATATTCTTCCGAAAGAATATAGTTAAGAATCGCAGCAGCTGTAGATATATATATATATATATATATATATATATATATATATATAGTATTTAAACAATTCGAATACAATTACGCTGTGCAACCAATTCAACTTGATCAATATATTCAGTGCAATAATTTGAACGACAATCGAGACGGATATTTATAACAAAGTGTGCAATTCACGAAAATCGAGATAACATGTATATATAATAAAAGGGTTTTATAAGAGTTATGTTGTAGGAAAAATGATTATGTTATGTTATAGAGATTCGTTTTGCGTGCCGAAGTTTTTTTTTTTTTTTTTTGCTGCGGGCCCCACAAAATGTTGTGTGTGTAGAAAACTTTTTGTGGTCATGTTAAATGATAGATGATAAACCCATAATAAAAACATGTATATATAATATTTACGAAAAAAGTTCTCGGTGAGGCAATAACAATTCGCTGCAATTGTATTCAAAATACGGAGAGACAGAACGCAGATAATTTATTCAACAATCCAGATTAAAAAAAAAAATCGCAATTAATTATGGGTCTTATAATCATACACGCCTTGCTCTGATATCAAATATAAAAATTTTGCGAGATGATAAATCAATAGGATCGATACATGTATGGTAGATAAAACACCATTCAAACAAAATATGAAATCAAAGTAGAGATTGCGCGTACCTTATCTGGCTATCACAAAGCCGGAGGAAAGGGAAACTATGTGTCAGGATCTTCCTCTCTATAACCTTCAGCGATGGGAGCATGACCGCTCATGAGACTTAATCTCAATATAAATAGGCTAGAAATGGAACTTAGCAAAATCCTACTCAACAATGTGTCTGATGGTTCACCCATCACAGAAGTTCAATCAGACACTAATGTCTACACCCCAACTAGGCCCAATATCAAAAGATATCAAAAGTCCAACTCAACATGATCACAATAGACTTATCACAATAAATTAAATTGAAATATCTATCAACCCGATT